AATAATGTCTAGAGTTTTAAGTGCCAACACCACGATATGATTATGAGGCGAGCCGTTGTGTAGGACTTAGGAATATTCGGAAATCTGGTGCTTTTTAACGAACACTGACGTCTCACAGTGTGTATGTTTCTATCATTTCTCTTCTATCGAAGTACAATCGCCATGGCAGAGATCGAACACGTGACTCTATGGTCACCAACCGCACAGCATAAACCAGTGTAACACCAAGAGCACCAGAGTAGATGGTGTCTGAGAATAAATCTTCTCATTTGACTTGGCTCGGGCTTCTTCAGTGGATTATAACACCACCCAGTTAGGTTCATCGTTAACGCGATAAAAAGATGAAAGCGAGAAAGGCCAACTGCGGCTGCTTTAGTCAATGGTGGCAGAAAAAATCGTCTAGAAGGACGAAACAGAAACGCCTTTCTGCGCCTACCGTCAGAACGTCTTGAAAACTGAGAGCCCCATTACAGGTTCGGCAAACTGGATCTATCGGAGTTAATTTGAGCCCAGAAGGAGCCCCAAGTGAGAAGGGTACAAAGAGAGGGTGGCCAGCCTTAACGACATCCACACTGAAGTGCAGCGCTGAGTCCCCGAATGCGCCATCTCCTTCGTTTGAACCGCGAGGAAAAAAAAGGAGTCATGGATAAGTTGGTCGGGACGGAGGGTGTGGGGTGGTGGCGCTGCTGTCGCAGAGAGGACTTGGGGAAATTCGCGGAGAGACGAGAGAGGGGAACAGGGAGTACCTCTCCCTAACAGCCTCCCTCTCTCCGGTTCTACACCGTCCTCCTCTTCCCTAGTGCTCTCAGCCGCGTTACCGTCGAGGCCGAGTGATAAATATAATTAGGCCGAACCGCTCGGCTGTTTGCTCGGCAGTCTCGGCGAATGGGCCGCTGATGAGAATCGTCGGGACAGGAAATTAAGCTCAAGTGCCCCGGTAATTTCCGGCAGCGACGTGCGCCATTGGGTGGCCAGTTTGTTCTTTTCGTCTCATTCTATTCGTTTCGTTTTCTTCCAGAGTGTTTTCTTTTGACGATCTTTCGTTTCCCCTCTGGATTTCTGTCGCGGTAATTGGTCGTTCGTCCTATATGGCTTTCATTCATTTCCTTTTTTTTTTTTGTTATCCCTGCCAGCACATAAGGGGCCGTTCATCTCCCTATGAAAGCTGAGCACAAAGAAGGAAGAGTAGATGTATATGGGGAACAGTGTTTACCCTCCTTATCCGCATTAACGCGTTGCGTGGAAGACCATGGAAGGATCGATTTTCGTTCAGAAGATGACCTCACTTTGGTTTGCGTTCATTGAGCGCTTCACAGGCGCGGCGTTCAGTACATCGCCGTTGCACGACTACTTGTTCAAGTAATAACACATTTCGAGTATGAATCGAAAGGGCGCGGCTTGCGTCGTAGTGACTGCGAAGTTTGAGAAGTGCCTAGTTTTGTTTCTCACGATTCTTATATCGCGGTTCCTTTTTTTTCCTTAATGTAGATCACTTGACTTTGCCGTCAGCCCAATAAGCAAAGATACGTAAACAAACGGACACATGTACACACGAGATAGGGCATTAGCGTTGTTTCAAGCCATGATTTTTTAAAGAGCACCTACACCACTCCTACTTCCGCGGGATCGATCCCGGCTGCGGCGGCTGCATTTCCGATGGAGGCGGAAATGTTGTAGGCCCGTGTGCTCAAAATTGGGGGCACGTTAAAGAACCCCATGTGGTCAAAATTTCTGGAGCCCTCCACTACGGCGTCTCTCATAATCATATGGTGGTTTTGGGGCTTAAACCCCACAAATCAATCAATCAATCATGGTATGACAAAGTAGAAAACGCCGCGAAACATTTGTAATCAGAATGTTTCTATCGACAGCGAATGTGAAGCCGTATACTCACATGCTGCAGACAGTGAGCGCGAGAGTCGTTCGTGTTCGAGCGTGGTAGTTCACTGGCATGCGTGCACTCCGCGCGCATGCGCCGTTGCTCGACTCGGTCCACAGTGTATACTACACTGTAACCGGCGGCCCCGATGGCAGCGCCACTTCTCATCGTGCAACTCCTCTTACGTCGTAAGCAGCACACTCATTGATATGTGCGGTTTAACGTTCCAAAACCACCGTATTATTATGAGAGACGCCGCAGTGGAGGGCTCCGAAAGTTTAGACCACCTTGGGGTTCTTTTAACGTGCACCCAAATCTGAGCACACGGGCCTAGAGCATTTTCGCCTCCATCGAAAATACAGCCGCCACAGCTAGGATACGATCCCGCGACCTGCGGGCACCCAGCCGAGTACCTTAGCCACAAGACCACCTCGGCGGGACCCCTTAGAAAAGAGAGAGAGAGAAGCATTCCTGGAGTACGCAGCCAAAAGCACCTTGGGAGCAGCCCGACAACAGAACTAGAGGTGCGACGAACAATAGTCCTCGCTGTAGGTGTCAGTTGGGGTATTGTGCTTGCCCCGCAATTGCTCTCTAACTTTGACAATACTTGCTTGACCTCTGCAACGTCCCTCCTCCCCCTGTCTACGTCAAACTAGACTTACTGTATATGCTACCTTTTGGTACCATATACAGTAGCTCTAAAGGTAGCATTTACAGTAACCCTACGTGAAACCACAGCAAATCTCGATTGCACCTGAATACTCGTACGAGCGCGCGCACCCTTTCTTTTAAACCAAATTTAACTATCTTGTGGGCTACGTTCGTCACTAATGATCGGTCAGAAGTGATCCAGCACGCAGGACTCTCAAACGACACAAGCATTTCGAGTTTCCAAAGATGGTGTCAGACGTCTTTTAATGGTCGTCCCGCGGAGTAGGCATTCTTAATGTTCACTTTCGGAAGAAAATTCTTGCACGCGCATATATTCCATCTAAAGCCAAGGTCGCCAACCTTTGGAGGGGAAGGCCACCCAGTAAAACAGAAGAGCGGGCGCAGGGAGTGGGTGGTGTTTTAGCAGACAAGGAGAACAAGCTCGATGAATTGGAATCGAGGATAATGTAAAAAAAAAAAGCGGAATAGAAATTTCGTTTTTTTTTAAAGCACGCATGTCACATGGATGATCAGGATAAATGTTTTGTCCGCATGAATTTCGTCGTGTTGAAATAGAAGCAGTGTGCACTGGTCTTTTTGTTTATTTCATCACCATCCAAATGCACATGCTATATTTTAAAAATAAATACAAATCACCATACTCAAGCGCAGATTACGCCATAATAGCTGAAAAACTTCGGTGGGTTTTATTCTTTAGCAATATCTGGACTGAGGTAATGAAATCGTAAACAGAAAACACTTGGATACATTTGCGTTCTGAAATTAAGTGGTGGTAGTTTTTGCCCTTGAGCGAAGGCGGTCCCATTCAGCGGTGTTTTCAATCAATCAATCAATCAATCAATCAATCAATCAATCAATCAATCAATCAATCAATCAATCAATCGATCGATCGATAGATTGATCAATCGATCGATCGATAGATCGATCAATCAAGCAATCGAATAGTAAATAAACAAATAGTTAACTAATGAATAATGAATATATCTATAGGTAAGTAAATGAATCAAATCAACCAATCAATAAATGAATAAATCAGTCAATCTACTTCAGTTTTCTTACATAGCAAACAGAGGCTGGTGAAAAATAAACAAAGCTGTCCCAGAGTACCGCAAAAAGCCTCAGCTTGAATACAGAATTGCAGTTTTGTATTGCACACACGATACCAATTGTGTATCTGCAATCGTTGGCAATGTCTTCTAAATAACTCTTAAGTCCTTGTGAATTGAATCACACCACCTCTTGCGTAATAAGGTATCGTTTACTTGCTGCATTTAGGTGGAGAGTACCAGAGGCTCGGTACCTCGGGTCCCGTTCGACTGCTGGCCGTCCTGGCTGGAATATTTTGCAGGGACTGTGTATGCCTGCTTTTCTTAATGCGATAACTTTAAATAGATAGTTTTGCAGATAGGCTGGTCTCGGCGTCGGTGTTAGTGTTATCGTTTGTGAGAAAAAATTCATCATTTCGTCCATGACAGAAAAATCAGGATGCAAATAAGATAAACAACAAATATGTTTGGTCTGAGTGAGAATCGAAGTCCGACCATCTGATTGGCAAGCGAGTACTTTACCACAAATCTACGCTAACGCTTGCAAGTGTTTAAAATAAAAAAAAAACTGTATCAATGCCTTGTTGGAGGACTCCCATGTTGGAGTCTCCTTAACGCATGTAATACTTGCTAAAGCGTAGAACCGCACTAGGTGCCAAAACTTGTGAGCTGTGAAACGAGTGGGTGTTTTAGATGTTCACCGATTACACAGTGTTCAGACATACCTAATCACCGCCAGTGGCGAACACAGTATCAATTTGAGCACCTGCGTAGCTTCTCGTGTTGCCTAGTGTGCCCTTCGCCGAATTGCAAAAGAAAAATTTATGCCGTACACTTAAGTGCACTTGCAGCAGCCATTCCAAGATCCTTTGAGACGACCGATGTTGCGATGAGGGTAGAGTTACGATTACACTACTGCCCTACTGTGACAACAACGCACGGAAAATAAAAATAGTATCAATGAGAGGCGAGCCAATCACGTTGTTGCGTGGTCCTACGCAGCCTCTCTTAGTTTCTATTACTGTGGTCGTTAAAAGACATATATTGTACTTATTTTATCGCCCCCGTACAATGTTATTCTGATGCGCTAGTCAGAAAATTGTTACTTTAGATATTTTCTGATCAACCTATGAAATGACGTACACATGCAGCTACTTCTAGAAAACGATATTTTCACACCGCTTTCTGGGATTTTCTTACGCAAGTAGTTCATATTTTATATGTAAGCTCTCAAGTAATACTGCATTACGCAATTTGAAGGTGAGTGTCGTAAATTAACCTTAAAAAGAAAAATATTACGTAGAACATGCTCACATACTGAAAACCGAAACCAGAAGCAATTCCTTTCAGCTTTTTCGGCTCTCGATCGCCACTGACACCAATTTCAACATGGCAGCGCCCACAGCAACAAAACCATGCATCGGGGCTCCCCGAGCTTAATTTTCGGTTGTTCATGAAGAGTGGTGAAGGCGTTCTGGCCTGAAGTGGCGGATAATCATTAGGTAACGTATCTTATATGATCATATTGCATTCACACGCATACTGTGCCTAAATGTGACCCGTCCTTCAAGTTTGTCGTTACCAGCACCCAGCCAGGAAATGTCGCGACAGCCGTGTTTTGCTTTGGCATATTAACATTACCGATGATTCCTTACGAGAGCTGCGTACTTCTCGCGTGGCAGTCTTTGTTATGAACGAATAACAACCACTGTGGAGCTGTAGCACCCGATCATTGCGCGATCAGCGACATATGAATGATGCGATAGCTGCATGTGTAGTTAGTGTGAGATTGTTACGTGTCGTGATCGAGTGTGTGCGTTGTGCCGTTGAAAGATAACAAATTATCCTAAAATATGATGACCATAATGCTTTAGCCGTTACAGCCTATGGATGTCTGTCGTTTATATGGCATAATTGCTTGAGGCCCATGTTTTTTAGATTTAGGTGGATGTTTAACACCTGATAGTCAAAATCCTCAGAGCCCTCCAAGACTGTGGTACTCATGATCGTATGGTGGCCTTAGGGCGCAGAATCCTAAGAACTATTAGTGTAGCCGTGCGCAGACAGAGGGGGGGGGGGGGGGGGGGGGAGCTGCGATGATCCTGCCTACCTCGCACCGAAGGGCAACCCAGCGCATGCGTATGATTATTGTCGCATTGTTAACATGAGTTCGAAGACGCTTCTGGCTGCGATACTCGCTGTGCGATAACTGGAAGATCGTCTCTCATTTCCAGGAGGCATACGCCGTCAGTTGCAATGGAAGGAGCCGAGGCAGCCAGCGAACGACCCGCCGCCACTCGGAGGCCCAGGTTCGACCCGGACGAGTATCAGATGCGAAAGCGCAAGACCTCGAAGAGCCAGCTACCCCGTCGGGAGAATGACCTGTACGTCAACATGTCGACTAACTTCAAGGGACAGCTTGAACGCTGTCGCAAGCTGATTGACAGCGGGAAGACTGAGGTGTTTGTGCACGCCATGGGCGCTGCCGTGGGCCGAGCCATCAACTTGGCCTTGCAAGTGGAGGCCAACTACCAAGGACTCCTCGAAATGGACGTCCGCACGTCCACGGTGGGCGTCGTCGATGACTTGGAGCCGCTCGCGGACGACCTGGAGCCTACGACACAGACGCGACAGACGTCCGCTGTCCACATTCGACTGTTCATGCCGAATGTGCAGAAGCAAGAATAGTTTTTTTTTTTTTACTTCAGGCGTGTGAAGGCTGAGTTTGAAAACTAAACCCCACTGGCCGTCGTTCCCGGGCATAGCTTGTCTGAGTTTTGATGATTAATTATGTCATTAGCTTTTCTGCTTTGTTGTTCCTGTCTGTTTTTTGTCGAACATAAAGATATGTACTTTGTCTGGTCTTTCAATGAAGTGATGGGTGTCCTTTGGAATAATGTAACATTTCCGAAAATTAAAATTTAGTGTACAAAAGACACTGACAAGCAGTTGAAAGTTGCTGTAAAAAAAAAAAAAAACACCGCTCACGACGTAGACGTCCTCGAGAGGGGAATTGATCCTAATATTTTTGTTGACGTATTAGCTGACGCAAAGCGTGAGTATTTACGAGGGTAAAAAGTTGTGCAGCATCCTTTTCTTGGAAAATCATGGTCATTTAACTGTATCAACTATACCCGTTTTTCTTTTTTTTTATGCTTCCGTGCCCCTCTGAAAAAATGAACCATATTAAACGGGAGCAACTGCGTAAACGGACAATAAAAGTGATTGCTCTAATTCTAACTTTCTATAGCTCAGTATACTATATCTAAGGTGGTTATTTCGAATCACATCTGTCAAACAACCCCTTGCAAATCTGAAGTGGTATTCGCACTCCCCTTCATTCCTAGATTCAATCGAAGTGAACGCATAACTTGGAAGCTGCTGCTTTTTCTACAAACATTTCCTGTGTCTACACCTAGATATTAGCTCCTTCTCCTTAGATACTAGTTCAATAAGTTTCGTTTTTGTATCACTATAAGTGGCGAGTCGTGAAAGCGCGTCAGACACAGAAACTTGCAAACCTCTGTGAATTCTCGCTGAACGTGAACAGGCTGCGCCATCTATGAAGCTTAAGTAAAACAAAATTTGTTACGCTTTTGTTATTTGTTGCCAGATGGCGCAAACAACGTTGTTTTTTGGCGTCCTCTAGTGTTTTTTTGTTGAGACTAATGTGCAACATTTTTCAAAATGGCTACCAGGCGGCGCTACCCTTACTGCAACAAGCAAGGATCTTATTTGTTGCGCCGAGCCTCTATTAACTCTTTATTCTCTCTCTTCGGTTTACGCAGAGGTTTGCTTTCGTTCGCGCATGCAATATATCGTTGGCGCGACAGTTGAGAGCTGCAGTATTGGTGGCGAAGACCCTTCTCCAAATAGGAAAACGTTGCATGCGACACTCGCGCCAACTGACAGCGACGGCCACGTCTTATCCCGAATTTCTCCGGCTAGTGCGCATGCATGCGCCTACCATAACTTGATGATACAGCCACAAATCGTCACCATCATCGTCAAATAAGACTTTGAAGATCTGCGTGATTCGCGAAAGCTTGCTGCTGTTCACTACGTAACGGGACGTGCCCGTTTGATCGCACGAACACAATAAATAAATCAAAGTTCGTTATCGGCCCCGTATCTTTTATTCCCACAACGGAGGGAAGCTAATTGGGAAAACAAGATGCGACGTTCCTACGAAGGCGTGAAACAAGTCTTTAGGTATTTGGTGGGCAAACTTGTGCTCAGAATAGTATATCATATCGATAAGACCTAATCTAGTGCTGCCTAATGATGAATTGCGGAAGATTCTACGAGGCGCACCGAAACACTCACACGTGGTCGACTTTGTTGTTCACTAGTGGCGTCGTGTAAACAACCCAAACCACTGAAAACACTCAAGGGGGTTCCGATACAACCAGCTTGAAATCAACGATACGAGCGGCTGACACGCGCTTTTTATGTGTTATCGCTCGACTAGAGGGTCGGCAACAGTTCATTTATTTAGGTATTTATTAAAGTACACATTCACACGAAAACATACGATGACTTACTTTACATCAAGTGAGAAATCATGGGACAGTATGTGTTGACAGTAAAAAGAAGAAAAAAAGAAAAAAAAAACCTATGTTAACGAATATGCAAATGATTTTATTTGGCATTGCGATGACTTGAAGGCGGGCTGAAAAGTCTAAAGCCTGAATCACCTGCTTAAGAACACTTCATTAAAGTAAGAGAGAGATGGAGATAACTACCACTGCAAAGGCGTAGGAAGAAACTTTTTGGGGAGGGAGGGGGGTCACATTTTTGAAATGGTAATTTTTTGCTCTGTACGCCATGGCGAAAAAAAAAAACGATTTGGGGGGGGGGGGGTTACACGGGCCCGGTGCTGTACCCTATGGCTAGGCCACTAAATCATCGAAGAAACAGCTATATACATTACTTACAGTTTTTCGTCTTTTTTTTTTTTTTAGTGTTAATGCCAGAAAGTTGGACATATTGCGATCACCATAAGAGCATGTTGCAGCTAACGGACACAGAAATTCCTTCCTCCCCTGAAAAACGTTGCCGCCGATTAAGTATTAAAAAAACAACACTAAAAATGCATAAACAAAAACCAGCTGAGCTGGGCAACTGATGCAACAGTGAGTACAATGTAAGCACTTGTAATGAGACCGTTTTGTTCGGCCGCGCCGTGAGCTAACTCGTAATGGAATACTGACCCCCTTATTTTCTCTCTCATTATGGCTGCGTACTTCGCCAATTCCACGTTCATGATTGCTCAAATTGCCGCGTTAACAGTATGTGGCCCAACACGGCAAACGTCATTAAGCGATGACAAGCCACTTTGCGCGCCGAGTGTTTCGGTAAGCGTGATTGCGTGGCAAACCTGCAGCGTCCTCGGATATCACAGCGGAGAAGCGTGCGCGTAATTGCATCGTGATTTTTCTTAAACGAAATCTCCTTGAGGCACGGTTAAGATGGTTATATTAACCAGTGTTTTGGCAGGTCGTGCCTAACAGGAATAAGGGCTGCCTCGCGTGTCTCCGTGATTTTATGCCGAATGAGCGTCACCGCAGGCAGGTCGCGGGATCGAATCCCGGCTGCGGCGGCTGCATTTCCGATGGAGGCGGAAATGTTGTAGGCCCGTGTGCTCAGATTTGGGTGCACGTTAAAGAACCCCAGGTGGTCGAAATTTCCGGAGCCCTCCACTACGGCGTCTCTCGTGATCATACGGTGGTTTTGGGACGTTAAACCCCACATATCGATCGATCGAGCGTCACTACAGAGCTTCGCACTTCGAAGGTGTGACTTCTGTCACGAAATGAACGAGTTAAAAATAATTGGTATACGACAGAAGTGGCACGCGGTTGACAAAGCTTCCTTGCGGCTTGCACTTAACTGTCTTCGTTCCACGTTATTTTTATCTTGATAAGTACGTCCGTTAGCGACGCAGGCACGACTCGTCTAAAACATTGTTTTCGTTGGGCCACCCATATAGACATCATGTGTTGAAACGTGAACGAGAAACTATTAGGGGCGAAACTTCTTATAGCGGCACCCGTTCGTCCCTCGTAGCATGTAACAAGTATAACATTTTGACCTCCAAGGTGGTGCCGGTGAGAGACTTCTTCTGTGCGTTGTTGAACAATAAAAAATAGTGCTCAATGTACATGTCAATGGCTGCTAATGGGGAATGAGAGACAGGAGCATTCGGCTTTTAGTTAACGCGCAGGCTGCGATTACCATTAGCACCCATTGGCATGTACATTGAGCACTATCTGACAAGAAAGGGTTGCTACGTTATACTCGCTGGGTGCAACCTCCTTAGCTTTAGAAAGATTTAACGAGCGTTGAGCCGCAGTGCCATGAATACAATGAGCTTGTATATACCATGAATGAACTCGAGGTGGTTAAAAATGGGAAGTAGATACGAAGCGCAAGCCGTAAGAAAATAAAAGCCAAATTCTCCGCCTCTCATTTCCCATTAGCAGCCATTGGCATGTACATTGAGCACTATCTGACTGAAAAAGTTTGCTACGTCATACTCGCTGGGCGTAACCTCCTTGGTTTTCGAAAGGTTTAGCGAGCGTTCGGCCGCAGTGCCATGAATACAGTGAACTAGTATATACCATGAACTCGAGGTGGTTAAAGGTGGGAAGTGGACCCGAAGCGCAAGCCGTAAGAAAGTGTGCGTGTGCCACCTCTCGTTTAGTCCTTGTAATGTCCGCTGGGTGGCGGTGCTTCTATATGGGGAATATATGATGAAAATATGCGAGATGGTGGTACTTTGAGTGTTCAATAGATGTACGAACGGACACATAGACAGATGCATGGATGGACGCATGAACGGACGCAGGGGCGGCTGCATGGACGAACGCAGGGACGGACGCACGAACAGAGGCACGCACGGACGGGCTGATGGACGCATGGACGGTCACACTGACGGACGCATGGACGGACGGAAGCAAAAACGAATGGACGGACGAATTCTTCGCCCCATTCTTCATCATTCACTTCGTGGATATTCTGCCATTTTATTTCAAAAGGACCGCTCATGTTGTCACGTATTTATGACGTGGGCCAAGGCGGAAGTCGGCATGTCCAGGGATGGAACTGCGAATTTGGCCGAGCTTGTGTCCGGGAAACATAAAGTAAGACAACAGCAAAACACACTGTTGTGCATACAATGACATCGGCAAACAGGGCGTCATGATGTATACAGGCGGCGTCGAACATTCGAGCGTTGTCGATGACGGCCGAGTATTATTTCAGGATAAACCCAGCTGTTGGCGTTTGCGAGCTCACGCTGAACAGATGCCGAGAACTATCTAGAATGCGAGGCAGTATCTATCCGTGCAATTCGCCGAATAAAACATAGGAAGGAGGGTATGTGGCAATATCTTAGTCATTTTTTGGCGGTCCTGTATCGACATGTTGTTGGAATCCTTGCGCCGAATCTCTTTGAAAAAAAAATGGCCCGTATATGAGATGTGGGAAAGCTCTTTTTTTTTTAATGGAAACGTTTGCTAGCAAGAGCACATAACATATAATATTCTGTGTAATTCCATGCATATGAGTGCTTCACGTGCTCCATTAGGCCGGTGTTGTGTGCGAAGTGAAACAGCGTCTTTTAGAATGTGTCGTCATGTATCCAGCGTTCGTAACTGGTTGTGTCACTGCAGTGAAGACCTGCTTGCAGCAGGGGACGGAAGCGCTTTCCGACTGTAAGCCTTGACATGCATCCATACAACCCTACTTATTGAACATTAGCAGTGACTTAGCTCTGATGTGCCAGGATATGCCTAGCGTGAGATATATGAGAAGGACAGACAGTCCAACGGACGGACCAGCGAGTGAGGTCACGCGAGTCGAGTGCCAGCCCAATACAAGGACACGTCCCTCCAGGCGTTTCCAGGCAACACCCTCTAAATGTTCAGCTGCGCAACGT